TATAAGTCACAAATTCTTTTACGGTTACAAATCACAAATTTTATATGTTACAAATTATTTTGCGGTCACAATTCAGAAATTTTTTAAGTCTCAATTTGTTTATCGGTCACAAATCGAAAATTTTATAAAACAAATTATTTTACGGTCACAAATCACAAATTTTATATGTCACAAATTATTTTACGGTCATAATTCAGAAATTTTATAAGTCACAATTTGTTCATCGGACACAAATAAAAAAATTTGTTCGTCACAACTTATTTATTGATCACAAATCACAAAAATTATCAGTCACCATCACCGCACCCAACCACCACGTACTAGTTTATCTTTCATATTTACTATAAAATTCAGTATATAGTTTTTCCTAATTAATATATAGTTAAAAGAATAATGCTACTTTGGAGATCAAAGCTTAACTTCTATATTGGGTGAAGTAGATTACGTCTAGTTTCAAAACACTTAATCAGTTTCTTTCACTTCAAAATAGGATGGAAAATTAAATTGAAACCCTCCTCTCACTTCATGGTTGGAACAGTTTGTTAGTTAAATTTAGAAATTGATCCCTCGCACTATTACCATTCTCCTTCCACACTTTACAGGAACAACTGAATGCATTCAGCAATTTGCTATCCCCTAACGATCTTTTTTCTTAGTTTGAATTTACACGATTTAACTCTACTCACTACCACCACACACTAACACCATGGAGCCGCCACTACCACCACACACTAACACCACCGAACCGCCCCTAAAAAACCACCAGAAAACATGTAGCAAAATCACTACAAAACCACCGAGCTATGTGTACAAGCAAAATCATTACAAAAATCGCCAGAGAAACCACCCGATTGAATGCCGCGATCCACCTGGAAAAACCACTGGATTGAACGGCACAGCACCCCTCGAAGAGATATAACGCGGCGTTGCTCAGAGCTGCCCATCCGTGAGCAGAGGTGTCGCACTGCAGCTGGGCGAAGCAGTAGCTTCACCTCCCATATGGCAGTCGCTCCGGTACCGTAGAGAGAGGAAGGAGAGAAATGTAGAGAGGAGGGAGAGATGATAAAATTAGGTTTTGGGTGGATAGGGGTGGGTATATAGATTAATTTAGTTTTAAAATATTATTATTAATATTTAAATGTTTAATTATGTTCTGATTTTTGTAAAAAGAAAAAAAAAACTTTAAGTCTGACTTTTGAAATGTTAACTTAAAAATTTTGCTTTTATGTAATATCCACTTTTTTTTTTAAAAGAACCTGGGCTATCTCAACGGTGGGCTATGGCCCACCCCTCCTTCCACCCATGAAAGTGCCAATGTCAATTTTTGTTAAAAAAGTGACATACAAGCTGTTAGCATGTTAGGTACTAGTACTAATATTGATCAGCCACATCACCAATATCACTGTTCCATTGATATTGTAAATAAAACATGTTCAAATTTCAAAAATTAACAATTGAAGCAGTGCTACCACTGTTAACATTGTCACTTTTTTGTTAAATCGGTCATTACATACAATACTAAAATTACCAACCAACTTATGTGCATCTAAAAAGTATTCTAACAACTAAATCAGTTATTATATAACAAGACATGTCTTCACTTCTTCAAAATCATCTTCTTCTCTATCACATGACCATATCACTATCTGTATCATATTTCCTTCAAATTAATGAAGGCACCAAAGCATGTATTCTTAAATAAAGTCCTCTGATATGGATTAAAATTTTCATTAATGTGACTTTTCCTTTGAACCAACATGCTTAAGGGATTAATAAATTCAAATCCTACAAAAAGAAAAAAAGATACAATTAAAATGGAATTCAACAACAATAACATGCATTATGAAAGTCTATAACATACACGTTTGTAACTTGTTATAATGATTAGAACATGTTTGTAATATACAACAATTAAATACAGCAATTAAAAGTGTGCATACACTCAAAAAAGTGACAATAAATAAAAAGAGTGACAAAGTTAAAAAAAAAGTGACAAGAACTAAAAGAAGTGACACAAGAGGTTGTAGTACACTGGTTTAACAATATCTATCGGAACAAATACAAGAATTGAGACTTTTGCTTACATTTTACCCTATCACCACCAAAAAATTAAAGAATTCAACAATCAA